CAAAAAAAAAAAAAAAAAAAGAATGTCATGGACAGTTCTGCCCAGGCTGACTTTGATCCTCTGATCTCAGCCTCCAGTCACTAGGATTATAGGTATGAGCCAACAGCACCTGGCTCCAGATATTCTTAAAGCATTTCTCCTCCCCCCTACCCCCCACCCCCGCACCTGCCCTAATGTTGGCGACCAAGCTCCCGGCCTTGTGTTTGTTAGGCAAACATTCTACCACTTGATCTATCATTCAGATATGCCTCCAGCCCATTCTTGTTATTTTCTTAGTACCCAGTTTGCTTCTTGTACAATATATTCTTGTTTTATTTGCATATATATTTTTCTTGCAACATCTCCCACACTACACTGAGCTCCATGATGGCAAATAATATTTTTCTTCATTCTATCATCTTTAGTTAAATCATTCATTAGTACCTAATAGATGCTCAAATATCTGTTGAATGAATGAAGCAATTATACCTGAGACCTGTTTCAGCTAACGTCATTGCCAAGTAACAGAATAAAAATTAGCCAGCGCAGGGGCTGGGAAGGTGGCTCAGTGATAGAGTGCTTGCCTTATATGCATGAGGCCCTAGGCTCAATTCCTCAGTACCACTAAGCAGAAAAAGCTGGAAGTGGTGCTGTGTGGCTCAAGTGGTAGAGCACTAGCCTTGAGCTGAAGAGCTGAGGGACAGCATCCAGGGTTCAGGCCCCATGACCGGGGGTGGGAGGAAGGCCAATGCAAAGGGGTGACTTTTATTTATGAGCTTAGGAAATATCTAAGTAAAATCTCACTATGATCAAACTAAACAACTGGCTCCATTCCAAGCCATTTCGTTAGAGCTTGACTGATGTAATCTATTGATAACTACTACCCAAACAATGACTGTAAGTTTTGCTCTCAAGTTTGTCTTACTGATGTCTTTTTCCCCCCCTGGTGCTGGAAATTGGACTCAGGGTTTTGTGCATACTAAGCAAGTGCTCTCTACAGTTGAGCTATACCTCTCACCTTACTCATATAGCAATCTCCTCTCCAATAACAGACTGGCTACATAAGAATGATCTGATTAAAAACAGATTTACAAAATTCTGATTGAGCACTTATGAAGTATGTCCCTAGAATCCCTATGTTTAAAACGTTCTTTATTTTGAATTGATAATGTGTATGTTGTATTCTGCTATTGGAACAGTAAGAAAAAAATTCACAGCAAAGTTTCCTTTCCACTCCTGTATGGTTCTCAACACATCCAGCTACCCTATCAATAACAGCTGCCAATTTCTTATGCATCCTTGCAGGCAATTATTTGCCTAAGCAAGTCAGTCTATTGGTACATACATTTATGCTTGAATATTCCTTTAAGTAAAACATACACGTATAGAAAGATATTGGTTGTGGGGCTTGAACTCAGGGCCTGGGTGCTGTCCCTGAGCTCTTTTGCTCAAGGCTAGCACTCTACCACTTTGAGCCACAGTTCCACTTCCAGTTTTTCAGTGGTTAATAGGAGATGGCTCATGGACATTTTTCTGCACGGGCTGGCTTTAAACCGCAATCCTCAGATTTCAGTCCCCTGAGTAGCTAGGATTATAGCAAGAGCCACCAGTGCCCAGCAACACTTGTGTATTTACAGAGCTTTTCTTTGTTCTTGTGTTGGAGACCAGGACTATTTGACACTAGCTTTCACTTGTTGGCTGGTGCTGTACCACCTGAGCCACACCTCCAACCCAAAGAGCTTTCTTCCTAATTCTATTTAAAATATCTGTTGGAAATTAAGGTATCTGGGTTTTCTGTTGTTGTAGTGCTGGGAAATCAAACCCACGTGCCTATAGAATGCTAGATAAGCGCTCTCACCAATTGACATCATTTGCCCAGCACCTATATTATTAATGAGCACCTTAGATAGTGCTGATATGAAGGTACATAGAGAAACTATTCACTGGGTGCAGGGTTGAAGGATTAAGTTCAACTGGGTTGGATTCAGAAACTCAAGGACATTGAAAAGTTACCTTCAAAAGGAGCAAGTTTGCTTCCTTGAGTTCTGCCCTTTCATTTCCCAGAGACGGAACTAAATCACCTATTGTCCCCATAGAATCCAGGAAAGGCCATTCAAATAAATGTTGCCAATGCTCTTCGCGCTTTGATTCCTGAAGCCCCTTCCGGCCTGCCTAGGATTACCTGAAATCACGAGCCTGATCAGTCCTATGTGACGCTAGACATTCTGATCCTTGAGTTGAAACCAGGTTTGAGCTACACTGATTTCCTCCCCCACAGGGAGAGTCGTTGAATGGGGCACAACGAAAATCAACACCTCTCTTATTCATCTGCACGGATACATTAGCATCCAGTCCTCCAGACCTGCTTTCTTACCATCTTGGCAAAAGTAACTACAACTTAGCAATGTCGAGTGAAGAGAAAGGCATTGTCAGGCCGAACTCTGAATTCTGAAGTTCCCGGCTCACCTGACCTGCCCTCTACCTGGGGGTGGGGGGGGAAGGCCGTGACGGCTGGGCGGCCTCCGGGGCAGCTTCTAGCTCTTTCTTCTCACTGGATACTACAAAGGGAGTTTCCTCCGTGCGGAGGGAGGGCTCTCTGGGGGCCGTCGGAGAATGTCCTCCGTAGTATCCCTTCCACCACGAGAGGCACGGCGCGGGAGAGACACTCCCCGGCTCTCCCTCTCCACCGAGTCAAGAAAGGGGTGCGGAGAGCTCCCCCGGACCGCCGGCCAGCCCCGGTCCTGGCCGAGGGCGATCGGGAGGCCTCGTCCTCTAGCGGCGCACCGCGCAGGGGGAGGGCGTGACCCCTCGGGCCCCGGCTCCCCGGACTCCCAGCACCCCTCTCCCCTCCATCCGCTGGCCTTCCCATCCTCCGGGAGTCGGGGCCCCCAGGCCGGGCCCCTCCCCGGGCCCGCCGGCGCCCTCCTTCCCACCCGACCCCGGCCTCCTCACCAAGCATGATGGGGCTAAGCCTCCGGGCCAGGCCCTTGGACAGGTCGTACACGTAGAGTTTCACCGGGTAGAGATTGGGCGGCTCCATTGGGACCCGTGGCGGCAGCCACCAAGGCCCTGGGGCACCCGGCAGCGGCTAGGACCTCCTAGCACCCCCCCTCCCCGGGGTGGGGAGAAAAGGGAGCAGGGGAGGGGGGAACCGAGCCCGGCCCGGCCTGAGGGGCGGGGGAGAGGCCGCCCAACGCTGCAGGGGACCCGGCACCGGCCACCGGCAACGACTACTGTGAGGTGACAGAAAGGGGACCGGGAGGGTCCACACGGAAGAGGAGGTGGGGGCGGAGACGCACTTTTGCGCATGTGCGTGCCGTCCTGCCGGGAGGCGGGGGCGGGGCTTCGTGGAGGGGGGCGGGGCTTTCGCGAATGGCGTTGGCTTCAGGTAGCGACGTTGGTGGAGGCTAGTGGGGGGGCGTGTCCGACGAACGCACGTTGCGCGTGATGACGCAGTGGACGTTGATTGGGTGGTAAGAGTGCCGGCCTCCGTGCAGACTTGGTGCGCGCCTAGTAAGTGGATCCCTTGCCTGCCGCTAAGGTAGGCTGTTGCCCGTGCGCCTTGCTCGTGGGACCCGAGTGGGGGGTCTCACTGCGCCTGTCCACTCAGTCTCGGGTGTCTCCTAGCCTGGCCGCGGGGGGCACCGTTCTCTAGGTGTGCAAGGCTTAGGGTAGGGGCCGCCCTCGGATCCCGCTCCTCCTCCAGGGGCAGGCGGCGTCGGGGCTTCCAGGCCTAGCTGTGTTTGAGACCTCACGGAGCGTGGTTGGCTGAGAGGTTTGGACGCAGTGGGTGGTTCCGCTAGATCGTCGCGTGTCCCCCCACCCCCAGCCCTACTGGTGCTGGCAACTGCACTCCAGGGCTGGGCCGCCCTAATCGCCCCTGTAAGTAAATATTCCCAGTAGCGAGAGTGTGAATAAAGAGCAGAGCCGCGAGGCGAACTCCACAGACCAACAGGTTTTATTCGGGATAAAAGCCTGGGACGGCCGAAGGGGAAGAAAACGGCACACCTCCCTTACAACTGGCAGAAAAAGTGAAGTCCGGCGGGGCTGATGGGAGCGGGGTGAGATGGAGGCGGGGTGGGAGAGCGGGCTTATCATAAATGGGGAACTTCAAGGTGTCCTCAGAGGCGGCAGCGCCAGCTGTGGCCTTGGGCTCGGGCTCTAAGGTACTTTACAGTCAGCCACGATGGGCCCTGATGGTAGGCCCTTTACCTTCGTACTCCAACGGCTGAGAGTTCCTCATGTTCCACGTTCCAAGCCAGCCTAGATAGGGAAGTCTGTGAGACTCTTAGTTCCAGTTAAACACACACACACACAAACACAAACATCACACATGCTAAAAGTGGAGCTCAGGCTCAAAAGTGGTAAAGTGCCAACTTGGAGTGGAAAAGTTAAGAGACAGAGACCTGAGTTCACACCCCAGTATGACCACCCCCCCAACCACCAAACAAGGGAGTCCAGAAGTGGATTTTTTTTGGGGGGGGTCGGTTGTGGGACTTGAAGTCTGGGCCTGGGCACTTTCTCTTAGCTCTTCAGCTCAAGGCTAGCGCTCTACCACTTGAGCCACAGCAGTGTCCTGGTGGTGAATTGGAGATCAGAGTGTCATGGACTTTTCCTGCCTGGGCTGGCTTTGAACCAAAATCCTCAGATCTCAGTCTCCTGAGTAACTAGGATTACAGGTGTGAGCCACTGGCACCAGGCTTAGAAGTAGATTCTTAAACTTTAAATTTGTTACTCATCTTAATTTCTTTTTATTTTTTTTTTTTTTGGGTC